CATAGGAAATACTCTGGATGCTGAGATGACCCTTTTTACTACTTCTGTTTGTGAATTTTCCAGTGCAGAAGGTTTTCTTGAGAAAAATCCTATTGTTTTGTAGACCTTTGTTTCAGTAAAAGTCCAATGAAATACTGCTTCTTGCTTTCCCACCTGACAGTTCGCTGAGAAACCCAGATATCTAGGATGTGTGGCTTTATGGCACCAGTGCCAAACAGACTGTGTCAAGGCCAAGGGGATCCCAGTGCTTCCAAAGTGTGGGGCTCCATTGCAGACCTGTTATCTGGATTGCCCTTGGCCCCAAGGTTTCTGGGTTCCTGCCGAAAAGCCGGGAGCTCGACGGCTGGGAATTCTGGCAGTTTGCAGACACCTTCCTTGCCAAAAAGCCAAAACCTTAGGAGTTCATTTCAGCCAGGACTCCGAGCATTTTGCTCCCCATTCATTCACTAGGGCTCCTGAGAGGCAGGTCTTATTCAGAGCCTTTCTCCTTGGGCTCCTAGACTCAAGCTTGATTTGAAATTTTTGTGCTGTATCTTCTCACATACCGCATGCCCCAGAACATAATGCACACCTTGTTTATGAAAGGCAGAATGAAGTAAAATATGTTTCCAGAGTTATGGCCACATACAGCAGGGACGAAGCCAAATCTTTAGCTGATTCACCCTCCCTTTCCTGCTTAACTAAAGCCGACACCTAGCTGTTACTGAAGACTTGTCTACGTGGGCAGTACAACTATTAAGGGGTAGTGCCAGTAGTGCAAGTCCATTTACAGGTAAAATTGGATGATCACTTTGGAATCAGAAAATGTAGGCCCCTGACATATGTTACATTTAAGACATGATTAACAGGTTAATCATGCCTTAAATAGTAACCCAGCCACAATGTCAAACCAATTTAAAATATGACCATATAGTAAATGAACCACAAAATTATTCCACATATAATGTGTAACAACTTTCTGGCTTGTACGTACCAAGCCTTAAATTGAATGTGTGAACAGCTGGGGCTGGCCCATGAGAGATCCCGGCATTCAGCTGAGTATCAGGATCCCTCATGGGAAACCCCCAGGGTCTGGCATACAGTCCCTGGCAGAACCAATCCCTGGACCCCAGCTGGGCAGCACGCATGGTTTTATAGGTCCCAGTGTATGGAGACCTCAGAGTCAGGCTGCCGCAGCCCAATCCTGGGATCCCCATGTCCTGGGACCTGTAAAAACCATGTGCTCCCCATCTGGGATTTTGACAATCAGCTGATTGCTGACTGGGGCCAGGGACCAGATCGAGCCTAGTTTCAGATCCTGGTTTGATCACAAGCCCCAGGGTGCATCCAGGGTGCAACTTGCTGATGGAGGGAGAGCCCAGGATCATAATCCCCAGTTCTTCCTGCACTGGCAAGTAAGGTACAATGGGCACATCTACAGAGATGCTACTGCACCGTTGTTACTGTGCATTTATTAAACACCTGTATCAGCACGTACTAAATAAATGCACAGTAACTGGAGTTATTGTGCAGTAGCACTGGCAAACATCTTTTAGTTGATGCTACTGTGCAGTAGTGTATTAGCACTGTCTGTGTTGTGACTGCACAGTAGTGCAGTAGCGTATTAGCACAAATAATATTGCACAGTAGCATATTAGTGTTGTCTGTGCTGTGACATGCTACTGCACAGTATTTTTTGGCTACTGTGCAGTCAGCGTCTCATGTAGACATGGCCTACTTTGGATCTAATCCCTGATCCCAAAATTGTGCATGCTGCTATGCATGTGTTGCATGGCAGAAAGTGTAATTGTTGGGAATGAAAATTAGATTCTTCATGCCTTAAAATCAATGACTGTTAGGGGCCCTAGTAAGATGAAATTTCAGACTAACTTGCAAGACCAGTTTGGAGAGTGATTGTATAAACTACAAATCTCCAGTGAAGACCAGGCTGAACATTGTGCTTATAAAATTTTAAAACAAACCACCTTATAAATGTGCATCCCATGTGGTTTTCTTTGTTTTACATTAATGCCTTGTACCAATAAAATAACCTGGGTTGTACAAAGTACATATTAAATAACCAATATAAGAATGTAAAATCTTATAACTCCGTTATTTTTCCCTCAAGGCAATCAGTACAGGAACAGATTGCACAAATTTTTGCATGTATATTTTAATTTATTCCAAGGCCTCAAAACACATCCCTGTACTAGCATCTAGAATCAGTAGTAAGAGGCCCCAAAGAAAGGGAAATTTCTTCTTTATAGATTTAAGTCCTGAATTCAGGAAAACATCATGATTTACCAACACTTTGAAGACAGTGTGTTAATGCTTTGCTGAACTGAGACATAGAGTGAAGTTACATGTTTTACTTAGATCATGCTAAGGGCACTTAAAATGCAAGTGCTTGCACATTAAAGCTTGTTAACTCATAATAAGTGCCCTCTGAACGTCTCAGCATTATGCCACTTAATTTCATAGACATTAGGGGCTGGAAGGGACCTCGTGAGATCATTGAGTCCAGCCCCCCCACCATAAGCAGGAAGTCAGCTGGGATTGAGTGATCCCAGAAAGAAAAATACCCAGATTTTTTTTGAAAGAACCCAGAGTAGGTGCTTACACCACCTCTGGGGGAAGTTTGTTTCAGACCCTTGACATACACATTAAATAACGTTTTTCTCATGTCTAGTCCAAATCAGCCTTCCTGGAATTTATGGTCATTATACCTTGTTATCCCTTGGGGAGCTCTGGTGAACAGCTGTTGTCTCAGGTCCTGATGTACCCCTCTTATATAACTGTAGGCTTCCACCAAGTCCCCCCTGAGCCTTCTCTTTTCCAGACCGAAGAGTCCCAAGTCCCTCAGCGTCTCCTCATACGGCCTGCCCTGAAGGCTTTGGATCATATGAGTGGCTCTCCTCTGGACTTTCTCAAGCTTTTCCACATCCTTCCTGAAGGAGAGGGGTGGGGTCCAAAACTGGATGCAGTACTCCAGCTGCGGTCTCACCAGGCCTGAGTAAAGCAGGAGGACGACATCCCTGGTTTTCCTTGAGATGCATCGGTAGATGTGCACCACAGTTTGGTTTGCTTTGCCAGCCACAGCATCACATTCATTACTCATATTCATCTTGTGGTCTATCAGGACCCCCAAGTCTCTTTCAGTCGCGGTGCTAGTGAGTGTAGCACTGCTAGCCATCGGACCATAAGATGGTCAAGGCCACAGTTCCCCAGCGTAGCCATGAGAACATCATGGGGAACTAGGTCAAAGGCTTTTTTGAAATCCAGACATATGACATCCACATCATCTCCCTTGTCCAGGGCTCGTGTCACCTGGTCACAGAAGGAGATGAGGCTGGTCAGGCAAGACCTGCCAGTCACAAAGCTGTGTGGGCTGGCATTCAGATGCTTGCCTTCCATTAGCTTGGTGTTGATGGATCCCTTGACAATTTTCTCCAGGATTTTTCCAGGGATGGACATCAGGTGCAACTTCAAGTGAAGGTTTACTCTGGTCTGTGCTACCTAGCTTGCGTAGGGTAAATTCAATCTCATAAAAGGAGAAATATGCAGTCCTCCCAGCATTCAGTCTCCACCTGCCTGCTCTCCCCTGCTCGCTATGTCTTCCCCACACCAGGGTGAGCTCAGTCCCCTCCCAGAGCCGTCTGAGAGGGAAGTGGAGCAATAGGCCAGAGCAGAGCAGAGGAGCAGCCTCTCCTTACTCCCCCACCCCCCAATCCCCAGATTGGGGACCCAGGCCAGGGAGCTGCTGGGGGTTTGCCTGACTATTCCTGTCACCTCCTGAAGGATTCAGGAGGGGATTAAAAAAGCCACTGATGTTTTCTCTATATTCCCTTTTCTCTATATTCTTGTATTATCCTCTTTAGTGTCTGAGGATCTCACAGTCACTAATTATTTTGTTTTTTAGTATCTGTGTGATACCATGGCTCTCTATGTGCTGCCACCCGGGAGCTCAAACCTGGAACCTCCAGCACCAGACAATGCTTATCCCCATTTGAGCTATAATTTCTACACAGCAGAATTTAAATTTGCTGGGACCAGCCACAATACGATGGTATTCTCTGGGCCAGTCTGACCCCAGCCAAGATGCTGGGAAACAGTTTGGCTCCATATTTGATTGAGAATCAGGACTAACCCATGGGTAAATATGACCTGATGCTTCTAGATGGAGAAATGAATGGAACTATTAATAGCCAATTGGAAATCCTCACCTCCAAAGGTGGTGGGGATATTTTTTATTAGGTTTGTCATGTCAGTAGATGTCTCATTTGGTGATATGTTGGTTATCTGTATGAAATATGTATCTATCTTAATTTACAGGAGCAAGCTGAAATGGCCAGAGATAGAAAATCTGTCAGTCTTCTAAAAAAACCCAAAGCTCTAGTAAAAGGTTTAGTGGAATATTTTAAAGAAGTGAAAAATGGTTTTGAAACATTATGTACATCCTGCTGTCACTGGAATCAAGCAAAGACAAACACTTATAGGAACCAAGGGGGAAAAAATCTTCCTTCAAACAACAACAACAAAAATCTGTCTAGCAATTACTACCTCTGATCGCAGGCAAAGGGACAATTCTTTCATTAAATGAAAAGCATCAGAAATACACAGGGTAAATGCACCACTCTTGCAATCAGATATGTATGCTCTTGCACCTAAGTGAACACTATGAATTCCTTCCTATGGTTTGAATGCAGGATCAGACTCTAAATTTATAACAAGTACAAGCAAAATAGCAAATTGCCAAAACCAGGAGCCAAGAAGCTGGGAAACAGTTTGGTTCCATCTTTAATTGAAAATAGGGAAATACATGATATATTCTTAGGGTGCACAATAACATACACTGGGTGTTCAGAGATATTCTATGAGAGGCTGATAATACACTACAATACCGTGTGTTACAAGTATGATGAACAGTACATCCCACAACTCTTACACAGTGCACCACAGCAAGATATTCTGTAAACGTGTACCAAATAATGCATACATGCTTTAGGGTTAGCACCTGTCATTCTTGCTGGATTACTGGTGGCCTTTACAAATTGGACTGATAAGACACACTCTGATAATCCTCACTTTCCAAAAGTAACGGTTGTGTCTCTTCAGAGGTTCTCCTTTTCTTACTACATCCCCGAATAATCAGTCCTGTGATCAGGGCAGCGATTATACCACCCACCACAGCTGCTCCAACTAGCCATGCCCAGATCTGACGGGCTTGCTCGAGGTAGGGCATCAAATAGTCCTGGAAGAAGTTAACTGCAAAAAAAAAAAAAAAAAAGAGAGAAAAGAAAAACACCAAAAAGAAATACTCATTTTATATTAGGTAATTCCCAGTGTCAGTGTGTAGAGGCCAGCAGTTCTATAATGTTTGCTACTGGAAGTCTCTGACTAATGG